ATGTGTGTAGTAGTGTGTAGTAGTGTGTATGAATGTGTGTAGTAGTGTGTATGAATGTGTGTAGTAGTGTGTAGTAGTGTGTATGAATGTGTGTAGTAGTTTGTAGTAGTGTGTATGAATGTGTGTAGTAGTGTGTATGAATGTGTAAATGAGGCACATATTGTTGTAAAGAGCTCTGAGTATCATGATAAGATAGAAAGGTGATATATAAGTACAGTCCATTTATCATGTACAGTAATCCCTCGCTACTTTGCGGTTCAACTTCTGCACACTCGATTTATCGTGGTTTGTGGACGTACAATAATCTTACTGTACTCGTGTGGTTGGGAAAAAGTTGATGACAAAAAAAAAATTCGGACAGGCGCTGCCATTTTGTAGTTTTTTTTTCAATAAGCCTACACTGTATCGTCAGTCCAAAAGAACTACATTACCCAAAAAGCAACAGTGCACTTCCCAGAATTCAACAGTGCTTCCAGCCCGCTGCTTTCTGCCAAAATGGAAGAAAAATTTAGAGCAGATTGAACCTGACTAAAAATGTTGGTCCTTATTAATAGTGACTTCAGCGCTCAGCGGCTGCAGAGAGCCGACCAGAACCAGACCAGAACCGGACCAAGACTGGTGAATCCCCATATACAATTTTGCAGTAGTTACTGTGCAGTCCTGTACGTACTGTATATGTATGTTGTTAAAATGACGTAGGTTTCAGCAACTGCGTACGGAGATGCGTGCGCGAACCCTTGTGTGCACGTCTCATTACGGGCTATAGAGAGCGGCGCGCAACCTGTTGTGTGTCTGCTCTGCTGTGACAGACACTCAGAAAAGGAAAAGGAGAGGCATGGATTGTTTATTTAAAATAATCAAGTGAGACCCGAACAGAGTCTCTGGTCCAGCTCCTCTGCGCTCACTGAGCGGGTCAGGCCACCGGGAATTGTCCCGGTGCTCCTGATGGCCACTTGGCCACTGGGTTTAAGAGTTTAGAACATTGCAAGAGTGTGGGAAGGGTTTCTAAAGCCTTAAAATATATATAAATACTAAAATAAATATAACGTCGCTACTTTGCAGAATTTCACTTCCTGTGGGCGGGTTCAGAACCGAATCCCTGCAATAACCAAAGGACTACTGTATATTGTAAAGCGCTTTAGGTATCTGGATTAGATAGAAAGGTGCTGTAGAAGTACAGCCCATTTACTTGTATTGAAGTTAAAATAATATAAAAATGATAACATACAAAAAGCCCGTAGAATATTTGTGTAAATGCTACAATGTTACTTCTTGTTTAAATGTTACACAGACTTTGAGCACACTGAACATGTTATCAGGTGGCACTTCAATAAAAACTCAGATCTAATCCATCTGAAACCTTCTGGTATGTTTTCGTCTTCAAAGTATTTTTCGACTGAACAGAGTAAAAACTGTTAAATTATGACCTTGCTGAAGTTTTGAAGTTTTCATTAGCATCAGGTCTATTGCAAACCTTTTTATATTTGCACACACTGTACGGAGCATCTTTCCACCGAGGAGTGTTTTCTGGCTGGCCACGTCCTCACACATGGACGCCTCCGTCAGCACTTGTGTCCAGACTGTTGATGGACAGGGAGGAGGGCGGGCGTGGCAGCGGGCCGCCGGGAGTAGCCTG